TGTCGCGTTGGACCAAAACGAACTAGTAAGTGGCAGGGCGCGCGGGGCAAACAATAAATACGTGCTGGAGCCGCGGACTGGACCCAACTAGCCGCGCTGGAGAGGTCTCTCCCTGTACTGGAGCCGGCTCCACATTACATTCGCGGCACGCGGCCAGGTCAACGCTCCGGCGCCAGTGCGGTGGGTGACTCAACGTGACCAGAATGCCCGTCGTTTTCATTTTTTGGTTTTTTGCTTTTTTATTTGAGAGTGATGTGGTGATTTCTCTCTCTCTCTCTCTCTCTCTCTCTTTCTCTCTCTCTCTCTCTCTCTCTCTCTCTCTCTCTCCCTCCCTCCCCCGTAAGCTTGTGAAATTGATGCTCTTTGGGGGCTTCTGGGGGGCACAGCTATGTATGGTGGAGTATGTAACCGTTACAAAGCCACCCCTTTGCAACTGGGCGGTTTCCCTTTTCTCTCTCGGGGCTGCCCCTCTTTCTCCCCCAAGGTATCGACCTGCGTTTCAGTGCGAAGATTCATTATCTCCACCTTTGACAGAAAAAAATATAGCAAAAATTGTCTGGGTTGCGGGCGTTTTGGCTGCTTTGCAAGCCTTAGCTTCTAATTTTTTTTCTTCAAATATCTTTGAAAGTCGGAAGAAAATCGGTAGAGAGTGTTGATTTTGCGATTTCAAATCGGCCTGAGTCGTTGGCAAGATTTTTCTAGAGTATTTTTTCTAATCCAAGTAAAAGAATTTTCCCTAAAACGGCGTTCACTGTAAAAAGCTTGCAAAGAACCATTCTCTGCATTGCAAAGAATTTCCAAGCGTTGCAAAATGCTTTGCATTGCGACCTAAATCCTTCACATTGCGAACCAATTCTTCGCACCTTACGAAGAAAATCGTTCGTAACGCTGCAAAGTATTAGTTCGGAACCTTGCAAACCATTTCTTCGCAACTTACCAAGAACATAGTTTGCAATGCAAAGAAAGTAGTTTGCAATGTAAACTTCCTTCCAATGCTTGAAAATTCTTTGCAAGAATTTTACAGTGTTCAATTTGCCGTGCGTGTGCCCGCGCTCAGCCAGCTGAGCGCCTGCGCAGTCGAGGATAGGCAGACCCGCCACTCATGCCCGCCGGCGTGCTGCCTACCCCCCAGGCGACAAGTTGTAACGAGCACTTCACTTGCTTATCGGCCGTATGTTGAGCAAATCAATGTTTCGTTCGGAGTAACGTCTCTGATTTTCTGCCGCTGGCGGATTGTCGTGAGTTGCGAGTGAAGAGCGAGGTTCGCAGAGCCCCCTCCTGATGGCACCGGCAATCAGCGAGGAACGCCTCCGCACTGCTTCGCGCGCAGCCTCTTTTATCCTTTTCCTCCGCTGTAGCGGAGATGTGAGCGATAAAGTTTTTAAACAAGTCCAACCGCGTTTGGCAGTCAGGCCGCGAGTCTTGCCCTGAACGAGTCGGCTGAAGCGAGGTGCTGATAGGAGCGATCCAGATGCATTCGGTCTCAAGAAGAGCAGAAGGCGAAAAGTTTGGCATTCCGATGAAGGGGAAGAAAGTACGACGTCCCTTACAAATCAGACAGTTAGTTATTCAACAAACTTTCGCGCCGGCCCCCGCGATCTGGAAACTCGTTTTCAAATAGTTTGGTGCCTTATTGCGCACACTAAATGACTCACATCTTTTGTACACAATTATAGACGGATCGACACATGCAGAATTATGATCAAATGTGGTCATAGGCCTAATTAATCTCTAACTATTTTGCATACGAAAATTTATTTACACTGTTGTAAAACATTAGGCCTAAAACACTGGTAATAACGTCCCACGTCAATCGAGGTATAAATTGCAAAGGTTAGGCCCATTTTGGTGACCAGATACATTATACGGCAAAATTGTCATCTCCGAAATGAATAGCAGGTGCACACCCTCTGGTGCCTCCCGATAGCGTGGTACTCTGTGTTTCAAAATATGTGCAAAATTTAGACGTTTACAAAACTTCTAAAATTTGCCCGCTCGTAAGTGTGTAACGCCAGTCAAACACGTAATCGTAATGCATTTTGTGCCCATGTGCACAAGCATATTTGTTCTGCAAACGTTGGTGTGCAAGTGCAAATATTGCTTTTGTTTTACCAGTGAAAATGTACAAATTTTTTACTGTATACTGCCTTATCAATCTGGCTATACATATATGCCAAAAAAAACGCAGTAAAACATTTCCAAATTTCCTCGTTCCCCATTAAGCTCTATCTTGCAAAGTGTCGCTCTGTCGCGAGGCCGCACCCCTCCCCCCCCCCTCCCGTACCCTTTTCACTCTCTTTTCCTAATAGGAGGAGTGCTTTCCCACCGCAGAGAGCCAGGAGCACTTTGCGCCTGACAATACGTCGGTGCACCTCGGTCATAAATCGTTTCAGGCACGGCTCCGCTGGCTCCGCTGGCTCCGCTGGCTCCGCCGGCTCCACCCCGCCGCGCCGCCGCGTCTGCTCACCACGTCGCGAGACTTTCGGCCGGTCCGCGCTGCCGGTGACAGACTGCGGCGGCGAGTGGCCCCTTGACCACGACCACGGCGGCGTGGAGGGCAGAGAGCGCGGGCCCGACCACCCAGACCTGCAATTACAAAGTGCCCCCCCCC